TTGGAATTTTCTTCAGTGATACTAGTTATAAAATCTCCACCCAATGACTGTGCTTCAGCCAGGATTTGAGACCCATGAGGCATAATACAGGGTAGAAAGAAAAAATCTTAAAATCCTTTCTCTAGTTCAAGAACAATACAAAAATAGAGTCCTTGGGACTAGCAGTTAGTGTAGTGGCTATGTCACTGGACTCCCATGTAGTCGACCGCGGTTCGAGTCCTGGACCCCGGTGGCTTGAAACTCACACTGGGTGCATGTGCGTACGTGCCCAAGATCCCAAGAGGAGAATGGAGGAGAAGGGATTGCGGAGTGGCCATCCCCCTGGGGGGTGATTTCTCACTTTCTTTCTCTATGTCTCTCTCTGTCTGTCTGGCGAGCGCACGCGCCCTATGGCAAAAACCTCTCCAAAAACAAAATAGAGTCCTTGAACCAGAATCTACCATATACATATGCTGGTCATACCACAGTCTAATAAATGAAATCCCAGGTATGCTAAGACAGGCAAGGGCAACTATCAAGAGTAATATTTTGTGGTCACTGTCGTTATATCCTACTTCATAAATAAAATATATGGTCCATCCCACAGTCTAGTAGTTAGGGAAGCCAGATTCCACATGGCTGACCACCGAGCAAATTTTAGTCCCAGCAGCTTCAAAACCACATCAGCCACACATGTGTGTGACCAAAATCCTGGGAGGGAAATGTATACTAAATAGACTGAGCATCTCTTTAAACATCAAGGGACATCTATCAGGGTTTTCGTGATACATGAAACAGGAGTCCACAGAGCTGACATCATTTCTGACATCTTAATATACAGCTTCTCACCACTCTGCAGCTGGGCTCGGCCCCATATTTATACACGGCCCTTAGTGGTATCTAAATGTAATTAAATATGCAACTCAAATGGCAAATGTCTGTGGATATCCATGATCCAAAAGCACATTACAGGCCATTACTTACTTTAATTTTATAATGTATTTCTGGGGGCTGGCAGGTGCTGTGGTAGTTAAGGGTGCTGCACTCCCACATGGCCGACTGTGGTTCAAGTCCCGGACTTGTAGGCTTACTTTCTCACTTTCCCTCTGTCTCTCCCTCTCTCTCTCTGGATATATATTTTTTAATAATTAAAATAATAGTAATATTATTAAAAAGTTAAATAATTCTTCAAAAAATGTATTTCTGATAGGGGCCAGCAGGTGGCATGGAGGTTAAGATGTTGGATCCCACATGGCTGACTGCAGGGTTCAAGTCCTGGACACCATGACTTAAAAGATTCGCCAGGTGCACGTGTGTGCATACCCAAAAATCACAAAATGAGAATGAAGAAGAGATTGCTGCGTGGCCATCCCCCCTGAGGAGGGAGGGGTGCTTTCTTACTCTCCCTTTCTCTCTCTAATGAGAGCACCCACTCTGTGGCCAAAAACTAAAATGAAATAGTTCTGATCTTAAAACAGAATGGAACTTGATATACATGCTTTAGAATAAGATAAATAAATGTCTCTGAGGAAAGACTTAGTAGTTAAGAAAGTATTGGCAGACTTTAAATTCTGTTAAAACAAGATTAGGGGAATTCGATCATGCCAATCCCTTCTCAACTACCACCAGGTGGCGCATCTCTGACTTCTCTCTGCCGTTCACCTCAGTGAAAGAAAATGCCCTGGTAAGATCCTTGGATTTAGTTGTATTGTTTGTTGTTTATTTTCACACAAAACGTTCACCAAAAAAACAATGTAACAACATTAAAATATGAATCTACAAGTGGTTCTTTCTCAGGTTTAACATTTTTATTTCTATGAATAGAAGTTGTTTTTCTTTGCTCTTATATTAATCTGTGCCAACACCACCAAGGAAGATAAATTACAATAAAAGTGAGGCCATTGGTTACTCTTTAAGTGAAAATAGAAACAACTGTGTAAATCATTTTACCTCTCAGAATACTCAAGTGTTAGTGGCATTTACTATTCAACACTTACCTTTCATGTGTGCAAATTATGTTACTATATGTTTATAATTAAGTGCAGTACTGGCGTCAGTGATAATGACAGAATTTTTTAAAAACTGAGGACCAGCAAATGATGTAACGGTTACAGCACTGGACTCCCACGTAGCCATTCGTGGTTCCAGTCCCAGACCCAGCAGCTAAAACTCGTGCCTGGCACATGTGTGTGCATGCCCAAAATCCCGAGAGGAGAGTGAGGAGAAAAGATTGTGTCATGGACACACCCTCTGAGGGATGATTTCTAGCTTTCTGTCTCTCTGTCTCTCCAGTGAGCACACGTGCCCTATAGCAAAAATCTCTCTCAAGGAAAAAAAAAAAAAAAAAAACTTGAATGAGTCTAGGTAAAATTTAAAGGTGGAAAAGATTTCTGGAGATTTTTTTCCCAATATTTATTAAATGAATGTATTGCCGAAGAAGCCAATCAACTCAATTTTTTTTAAGATACTTTTCATAGAATTTTCTAATTTAGACTAACGTAGATTCTAAGATTGCCATAATGCCTTAGAAATAATCCGCCTAAGAGTAACTATGTCTTTAACTTTGAGTCCTAGAACAGGTGCCCTACCGGGATATTTCAAACACATTTTGGATTTACCCCAGTTGACTAAATAGTGGCAATCAGAAAGTTAACTAGCACCGTACACAGAACTTTTCATGTCCTTTGATCAAATAGGCTTCAGAAATGGTCATTTCTCTTCCTTCTATTCTAAAAACCGCAAGGCAGAAGGAAGTGGGCTTCTGGTCCCAGTTCTCCCATTAGCTGGCTGTGCTGCCTTGAGAAAATTCCTTAAACTATATCTTCTTTCTTTCAATGAAAAAATAAAGTAGAATATTTGAAGCCTATTTTACTTAAAAAACAGTATGATGTTATTTTAACATTTGAATCTAATATTGTGAAGTTTAAGAAAGTATTTCAAGGTAATGTACAAAACAGGAGAAGCTAAGGAAAAAAAACCTAATATAACGATCAGTCCCAGTGATAGTAAGTATGCAGATGGCGTCTGATCTGTATCCTCTCTAACAAGTTGAGCCAAGGGATCTTGGCACACAAAGGAAGGGCTCTAGGTAGGCCCTTGGCTTTAGAATTGTATTGATTCTGGGGACCAGCAGATTGCATAATGGTTACATCACTGGACTCCCGTGCAGTTCACCACGGTTTGAGTCCTGGACCCAGCAGATAAAAACTCACACCGGGAACGTGTGCATGATGCATACCCAAAATCCTGAGAGGAGAATGGAGAAAGGATTGTGGCATGGTCATCCCCCCTAGGGGGCGATTTCTCACTTTCTGTCTCTCTGTCTCTTGGGTGAGCACACATGCCCTTTATCGCTCTACAAAAAAAAAAAAAAAAAAAAAAAAAAGAAGAAGAAGAAAAAGAAAAGGAAAAGGAAAGAAAACGAAAAAGAAAGAAGAAGAAAAAAAAAAAGAATTGTGTCTACTCTGGGCAATTGATATTCATCCACCTTGGAATGAACTGATTGAGCACTTTGTCTTGCTGTTTTGCATAGAATCTTTGATAGTGTAGATCCGTGTTACAGACGCCAACTCGGACACCCCACAACTTAAGCTTCCTGCGAGAATGATAGTCATGGCTGTTCAGTGTGTACAGGAAGAGCACATGAAAATTCTATTGATACACTAGTTGAAACAAAATTATTTTTTTCTAAAATAACTAATTGGGCCAGTAGGTGGCATGGCAGTTAAGGCGCCTGGATACCACATGGCCAACTGCACAGTGCGAGTCCCAGACCCTGTGGCTGGAGGAACACATCAGGGACATGTGTATGCATGTATCCCCAAAATTCTGAGAGAAGAATGGAGGAGAAAAGATTGTGGCCTGGTCATCCCCCAGGGCGGTGGAGGGGGATGTTTCTCTTTTTGTCTCTCTGTCTGGGCTCTACAAAAAAAAAAAAAAAAAAAATTATGTATCCCCAAAATTCTTATATATACACACATATATACCCATACACACACATACACACACACATATATATACACACACACACACACACACATATACACACACACATATATACCCATACACACACATAAACACACACACATATATATGCACACATACATATGTATACCCATACACACACATATATACATATACACCTATATACCCATACGCACACATACACATATATATACACACATATATACCCATACACACACACGCGTGCGCACACATCAACACACACATATATACATACACACATATACACATATATACCCATACACACACAAACACATATACTCATACACACACACACATATACCCATACACACACACACACACATATATATAATGCCCATTTAAGGTGGTCCTGTAAGTGCTACTCTTCTTTCTCATGACGTGTTCTGTATTTAAGAGATGAAAACCTGAGTTCCTCCCTAATGTTCTAACTGCATTTTATCTCTTATACCGAGTTTACAAAAGCAAAGAATTCTGAATTCCTCAAGTTTCAGGATGACTCTATACACACACACTCGCACTGTATGCAAAACTTGCACAGAGTAAACTAGAGATTCCTATCTCTTCACTTGCGGTTTTTAATCGCTTCCATAATCAGCTCATGATCACATGGGCTCGCAAACACGGATACAAGAGACACAGAATGAACGATCCACGAAAGTGTGTTTCTTATTTAACACACAAGGACGTCGTTCCCTCTTTATTGCGTATTTGTGATGGTGTTGTGGAAGATTTCACAAGGGAAGAGTCCTTAATTAAGGCTTGGCAATGACGACAATAAATATATTTTATTGCTGATAATCCCTTTTCCTTTATGAGAAGGGTAACAGACTTCTGTTTAACTGGTCATGAAATATTAATTAAAAAGAAAAATATATGGCGGAAGCAGCCACAGTTGGGGCCATGTTTTCACTGGTTTTTTTTGTTGTTGTTGTTTTTTTCCTGCACTAAGTTAAAGGCATCGACGTAGTCACCTCACACGTGGGGAGATACCAGTTACTTTTGTATTTTTGACCCAGGGGCTCCAAGGACAGCAAGCTCTGGAATCTTCTCTGCACCAACACCGAGGGCCCGTGAAGAAAGGTCCATTTAAACACAAGCAGTCAGACTGCATCCATGGCAGACCCAGGACCAGACAGACCAACCCACAACAGAGGGTATGAACACAGCAACTGTCTTTAAAAAGGTTTTTTAAAACAATTTTTGAAATAGTAAGCAATCCCAGCCTATTTCCCTTTCCACAGTTTTCTTTACTAAAGAAAGGTTTTACTTTCCCCCTAATTAACAATCTACTTTCTTTTAAAAATGATCCCACAGTAGAACTGACTTTTTATCTTTTGGTGTACAGATCTATAATTTTGTTGTTGTTGAGAGAAAGAGAGACAGAGACAGAGGGAAAGTGAGAAATCATCCCCAAGGGGAATGGCCACACCACAGTCTCTTCCCCATGCTCCTCTCAGGATTTGGGGCACGCACGCACACACGCCCGGTGTGAATTTCAAGCCAGCAAATCATGTACTCGAGAAGCACTTGGCCATGTGAGAGTCCAGCACCACCGTGACACCTGCTGGCCCAGGTCTATGAATATTTTGTTTCTTAGCGGTTTTTTTTTTTTTGCCTTAGGACGTGTGCACTTCTCAGAGAAAGATAGCCATACACAGTGAGAGGGTAAGTGAGAAATCGCCTCTGAGGGGAAAATGATCACATGCACACAGCAATCTCTTCTCCATTCTCCTCCTTGGGCACACAATGTAATTTTCAAGCTACTGGGTCTAGGACTCGAACCATGGTCAGCCATGTGGGAGCCCAGCAACATAACCACTGTGCCATCTGCTGGCCTCTATGAATTTTAACATACATGTAGATCTGTGCAGCCACCACCCCCATCGGGTCATTGCTATTTATTGATTTCTTCTAAAAGAGTGTAGGAGTTCTGACAACGGTCTCTTTATTGTATGGCCACAGTCAGACTCAAGAGAGGGTCCAGACTGTCTCCTAGCCAGCAGTGACCTTTGAACTCAGTCCTTAAGGTTGGGGGGCACAGCACCCTGCTGCATGAGGACTGATTCAGAGAGTCCCAAAATAGGTCACTGGCTCAAGGTGGAAAGGAGTTAGATCACTTCCGCTGTTCCAGCTTTTAGGGCAATAGTCACTCCAGTGAACCCATATCCCCCCAAAGTTTCACCACAGGAAAGCTTTCAGACCCTTCAATGATTCATATTAATAAGTACAAGCGAAAGGAAAGTCTTTGGGAGATGACAGAAATGCTTTCATTTGAAGGCTACTTCCAGTCCCCGTGTAGTTTTAACTCCACGCATGCCGCCCAACAGAAGGTCTTGGACTTCAGCCTTTGATTTATGTAAGGGGAAAAAAGATGCTATTGCTGAAAAGACCCATTACTCCCGTGCTTCCTCGCATAGTTCAACGTTAAGTACTCTACAAAACGGAATCCTTGGTGGAATGCAATTCTGTAATTCAATCGAGAGCTCTTGCTAATGTCCCAGTCTGCAGGAACATAGCTTAAGGGTTTAGGTTTAGCAGGAAACCGTGCAAAGCCAGAGACGGAATTACAGCTGCTTCCTCCGTCAAGGAGCGAGTGAGAGTTGCTGGCGATGTGATGGTAACAATTATCAAGATTTTTAAAAGAAACGGAAAGAATGATAGACAGTGTTGATCACCGTGGCAGCTGGACAATCAGTCAATGAGGCTAAGTATAGGATGCTTTTTACTGTTATGTAGATTGCAAAATGTCCACAATAAAAAGGTTTTTTAAAAAAAATAAAGAAGATGCCACCAAAAGTACTATGAAGGGAAAAATAAGGCTGCCTGAAATTCATGGAATTTGCAGCTATTTCTCACTTTTTTTTAAACATTTTTGTCATAGAGCAGCGTGCACTTGTATGAGAGAGACAGTGAGAGGGGAAGCAAGAAACCACCCCCAGGGGAGATGGCCATGCCACAATCCCTTCTCCTCCATTCTCCTCCGTTCTTTTCCTAAAACATGAATGTCTCAAATACAGAGATGACAGTGGACATTTAGGACCATCACAGCTAGGTTAAAAAAGTCACTGTCAGGGAACCAGCAGTTAGCGTAATGGCTATGTCGCTGGACTCCCACGTAGTCGACCGCGGTTCGTGTCCCGGACCCGGTGGCTTAAAACTCACACCGGGCGCGTGTGCGTGCGTGCCCAAGATCCCGAGAGGAGAATGGAGGAGAAGGGATTGCGGCGTGACCATCCCCCCTGGGGGGTGATTTCTCGCTTTCTGTCTCTATGTCTCGCTCTGTCTGTCTGGCGAGCGCACGCGCCCTACAGTGAAAATCTCTCCAAAAAAAAAAAAAAAAGTCACTGTAGAGCACGTTAGTACCCAGCCACTTATTTGATCCTTATAACTAAATGTATGTGATCCTCTTTTCCAGGTAAGATGTGAATTATCCATATTTTACAGATGATCAAACTGATCATCTGTAAAATATGGATAATTTAAGAAAGGGATTTAAGAAAGAGATTTTTAAGAAAGAGATTTTTTTAAGAAAGAGATTTTTGCTATAGGGTACGCACACTCACTGTAGAGACAGAGAGACAGACAGCGAGGAATCACCCCCTTGGGAGACGGCCATGCTATAATCCCTTCTCCTCCATTCTCCTCTCGGGATTTTGGGCATGTACACACACCTGCCCTGTGTGAGTTTGAAGCTGCCAGGTCCAGGACTCGAACTATGGTCAACTATGTGGGAATCCAGTGACATAACTATTATACCATCTGCTGGTCCTGAGACTCAGATTACGGTTTACTCACTCTCATGCTACCTGTAAGAGTACAAACCAACTGACTTTTACTTAAAAAAATTATTTATTTTTTTCCATGAGCAAGAGAAACAGAGAGACAGACAGACAGAAAGACAGGCTGCCTCAACAGGGTCTTCATGCCATGATCCACCCAACTTTCAGCCAGCCCCAGCTTAGTGCATGCATGTGCCGGATGCTATCAGGGAGGTCTCCGGACTTGAACCAGGAACCTTCCCCTGTGGGATTGCTTACACAGCCTGGCATTTTACCACTTAACACCACTTGGCCCCTGAGCAACATCTTCTGATTCCTGATCTAGTGCCCATCCGACCAGACCACAGTGACCTTCGACTGTCACCATCCAGCACAGACATGTACCGAGCAAAGCACGAAGCAGATGCTGTGAAGAAGACAAGAACACAAGGCTCCTGTCCTACGGCAGCTTCAAATCTAACTGGGAAAGCAGACTTTCACAAAATGAAAAAAAAAAATAGCTACAATGCTAGTAATAAACATCAGCAAATAGATCATGAAAGCCAATGTAGGCAAGAAAAACTACACGCTCGAAGGATTCCAACTGAGTAAAAAGGAAAGTTCTACAGATATCAACTGAGCACCTATCATGTGTCAGGCATTTAATGTGATCAGAGAGAGAGAGAGAGAGAGAGAGAGAGAGAAATCAAGCTACCAGGTCCAGGATTCGAACCATGGTCCACAATGTGGGAGTGTCCAGCACCTTAACCACCATGCCACCTGCTGGCCCCCAAGCACCCTGTGCTTTTCTAATTCATCCTCTCACTGCATTTGGAGAATCTGGGTGGGAGAGACGCTAAAGATTTCAGTGACTTTTCAGAACCAGGGAGTGACTGGGGCCTTCCTTCCACAGAGAGTTAAGGGTGCTGGGCTGGGACCAGGACATGAAGATGTCACTCCATGACACACATGTGCAGATGGCCATCTCGTGCCACTACCCCGCCTCCATCTTTCAAGCAGTCTATACTTCCATCAACCGACTGATAAGACATTCATGGGGCCAGGTTAGGTTTTAAAATCTACCTAACGTAGGGGCCGGCAGGTGGCATGGTGGTTAAGGGCACTGGACTCCCCCATGGTCGACCATGGCTTGAGTCCTAGACCTGGCAGCTTTCTCTCTCTCTCTCTCTCTCTCTCTCTCTCTCTCCAACTCACTCGTTTGCTCTATCTCTCTCTAGTCAAACATAAATAAAGTTAAATTAAAATAATTATTTTTAAAAAACTTTTAAAAAGTCTACTTAATATATCACAAAGCATATAATGCTGTCTTCAACAATCAAAGAGGCCATGTCAATCTGTCAGGGCTGGGGCCATATTTTTGTTTTTCATTGTCATCGTTGTTTTTTAAGACTCCAGGATCTTAAATAAATAAATAAATAAAATAATGTGGGGATGTAAGGGGTCTCAGCCTCCCACCTGGGATTCTAGGCACCCACCACCGTGTCAGGCCTTCAGGTAGGTCAGAACCTGTGACTCCCATGTGTCCCAGCCTACAGAACATAACACATAGCACAGCATCTGAGCAGCTTGCACCGCAGAGGCTGGGCCTGCAGCCATATTCTTCTGGTTTGTATCCTTTCAAGCCAGCAGGGGAAGAGATCTCCGTGCATCGTGCATCTCGTACTGCTGTTTACTGAGCGATGCACACGGCTTCTGTTTCTCTGTTTCGCTGGAGCAGTGTCTCCTTTGTTACAATTTGCCCTTCTCCTATTCAGCATACCTGAGGAAGCAATCTTAGAAAGAATAGGGGGTATTATTATTATTTTTTTAATTTTGCCACTAGGCATGTGCACTTACCGGAAAGAGGGAAAAGGAGAGGGAGAAAGCATCCCCCAAAGGGGCACGGTCACCCCACAACCTTTTCTCTATTTCTCCATCTTGTCAGTATTTGGAGCACACATGCACACATGCCTGTCACATTTTTCAAGCCATCAGCATCAAGCTTCAAACTGTGCAGCCAGTCCTGTGGGACTGTGGAGCTAGACCGATGGGTTATTATTATTTTAAGAGGAAATTGTGTTTAATTTTTTCTTCTCTTTCCTTTTTTTAAGAGGTTTTTGCTATAGGGCGTGTGCGCTCACCAGAAAGACAGAGAGAGACAGAGAGACAGAAAGTAAGAAATCACCCCCCAGGAGGATGGCCATACCACAATCCCTTCTCCTCCATTCTCTTGGGATCTTGCACATGGACACACACACGCCCAGTGTGAGTTTAAGCCACCAGGTCTGGCACTCAAACATCAGTCAACTGGACATGGGAGTCCAGTGACATAGACATTACACCAACTGCTGGTCCCAGGAAATTGTGTTTATTTTAATGAAACACATTTTATTTTTTAAAAGAATTATTTTATTTAAATTTATTTATTTATTTATTTATTTTAATTGGACCAGAAAGGGACAGATAAGAGAGAGAGAAGGTGAGAAAGCAAGCCACCAGGTCTGGAACTCTAACCATGGTCAGCCATGTAGGAGTCCAACCCCCTTAACTACCACACCACCTGCCAACCCCCAAAACACATTTTAATTTGTTGCCAATTTTTGTGACAGTACTTGCTACAAAAGAAAGTTGTGTGTTTAACATTGTGCTCAGAGTTGAACCCAAGTGTTTTAAAATGTAATTAAATTAAGCCACATTAAACATAAAAATTCATTAAATTAAGCAAAGACTCTGCATCAACCATGTGTCTGGGATTACATATAGAAAAATAATTGATGTCAGGACCAGCAGGGGGCATGGTAGATAAGGTACTGGACACTCCCACATGGCCGACCATGGTTTGAGTCCTGGACATGGTGGCTTACTTTCTCACTGTCCCTTGCTCGCTCTCTCTCTCTCTTTCTATCCCTCTCTGGTCAAATTAAAATGAATAAATACATTAAAAATAATAATAAAAATAATTTTAAAAAATAATTGATGCCATTTACTACACGATAATTTTCCAAGTACCTTATTATTCAACCCATTTCAATAACTTACTAAAATGAAGAGAATAAGACACTGGCCTTAACTAGCACACCCTCCTATTACTACCTTGTGCCACACCCTGACAGCAGAGCCCCTGTTCTGCCAGGCCAGTCACTTCATGAAGCCACCCCCTCGCAATGCCCTTGACCTCTAAGTCCCATGGATCACAACTCTGGTTCGGAATATTCTCACAATGCTTATTTGTACCTGCTGACCCTCCAGGGCCAACTCACTTCTCGCATCCTGC